TGTGCATCCCTACTCATTGTAATTATCATTACTAATAATACAATTAATTAACAAAATAATTCAAAAAGAAAAAGTTTGGGGAGAAATTGCATGGCATATTGTATACTCAAATAAATCAATAAACAATGTAATTGAATCTAAATCTAAAGAGAATTGGGAAATCAGTATCAACACCTAAAAAAAAAAAAAAGTTAAAATATATAAATAATTAAAATGAACAACAAGTGTAGTAGGGATGTAACAGTATGAACATTTCTTATCATTATTATAGTGACCAAAATGATCATGTTATCAGTATTATCTGGGTATTGTTAAAATGTGCTGGAGATGTTAAAAAAAGTACCGACACATAAATCACTTCACCAAGTTTTATATTTAAAAATAAACAAACAACAATAAAATGACTTTTTGTTTGCATAATCACTAAAACAATAACATTACCAATGATGTTTGGATTTTCAATGACAACAGTTTAATAGCATGTTGAAATATCTAATGTAAGTGTTCAAATAAAGCTTTGAAAAAGTTTCATAAAAAGGTAAACCTCACATTTCAGCCTTTAAATAAAGAAAAGTTATGTCAAAATGATAATTGATTAATAAATTATTTTATGTATTTTATCTGCTCCATAAATAATTCTAGATCACTTATTTGAATTGTTTAAATGTGTAGAATCCACATAAGCTTGTTTTTCCATCAACCATTTCTGAAGACAGTCAGAACCTTCAGAGGTACATTCATATAATTAATTCATTCATATATTCATTTGTATAATTCCCTTAGCACTCTTTTAAAACCTCCCATCTTTTCCACCCTGTTTTCACTCAAAACGAAACTACTCTGCATGCTGTGCGCAGGTGAGACGGTTACTGAAAACTGTGCTTTATGCTGGACAGTATTTATTTATCGTGAGTTGTTCAAATCGCGGTAATCTAATACAGTTTTAATGATAATTAAAAGATGAAACGGTAATACTAACCGTGGGGAATTTTATCATGATTTATCGTCAAACCGGTAATCGTTACATCCCTAAAGTGTAGACTTAAATAGTATGCTATAATTGACACTTCACATCGGCAGCCGTAATAGTAATCTCAATTAAAAATTATGCAGTCCTAATGTATCATACAGCATGTTTTCCTTTTGTTTTGTGCTCATCTCGCATTAATAATTAAATAAAAGTATAGATCATCATGCAGCTTAGTAAGTCTAATTCACACCCAGCATGAGCATTACAATGGAAGACATCATGAGGCAATGTTATGATGAACTATCATCATGCTAATTGCAAAATGCTTTAAAAAGTAATTAATTAAGCAGCATGCAAACAATCTGACAACTTGTCAGTTACCCAACACTGGGTCACTGTGCGAGCTGCACCAGGCAAAATTCTATCATAACACGACTAACTGTGGCAATTCCTTTCAAAACGGTTCCTCATACACAGACGCCAAAGGACAGCACAGAAGGACGAAGAATAAAAAAAAAACAGCACGCTCACAAACCAGCCAGCCAACCTTCGTGTGTACAGACAGGGGAGCAAAAAAAAAAAAAGGAACACCACCTGTCCATCAGGAAAGCCACCAGCTTTCCTTCCTCCCCCTCCTTTCTCGGTATCACTGAGCCCAATGACGGCCAGAGATACTCCTTATCAGCTGGTGAGATGAGATTTAGTTCCAGGCCTAACACTCATAGGAGGCTATTGATAATGCTGGTCCCCCCTTCTGCTCTCCTCTCATTCTCCTGAAGTGGGACCTGCCTCGCCTGGCAAAATCCAAACCGCAACCATGACAGCAACTGCGAAACTGATTTCGAATCAGTGCAACAGGGTGACATACCGTGTTCCAGCTATGGATGAATAAGATGAGCCATGCAAAACCCTGATGTGCATTCTGGCAGTGGGCATCCCCTTAGTGAAATCCCTTTTTCCCTACTGCTACCTGGAAGGAAAGCTAGGTCAAGCTCCTGGTGATGGGTGGTGATGTTGTTTTGACATCCTTGCTACTGCATAGCTGAATGAATAATCAATGGTGCTTGAAAACAGAATGCATTAGATTTTTTTTCTTATTATTATAGCACGTTTTAAAAATCCTCATGAAACTTTCATGGTTTATAGGTACAAAGCTGGAAATGGCACAGACCGGCTAACATGTTCAAAGCAGTGTTTTCCATTACTGACCCATATCCCCATGGCTAGGAATCATTTAATGGTCTTCATGCACAGAGCAAAACCATCTGCATCTTTGTGTCCACATTTTTATAGCCTCACAAATGGTTGCATACAGCTGTCGAACCTACCTATTATGCTGACAGACAGCAACTATTATGTGATATTGATTGCTCAGGCCTTTCAATAATAGCAGTCCTGTCGATTTGATCAACCTAAGAACTGGAGTTTGTCTAGGGGGTCTCATAAGTCTGAATATAGCCTACATTTATCAAGGCTCAATTTGACTGAATCACCTAAGCAGTTACTACACAAGGGACTCGTATGCAATTAGTGGTGTTAATCATATACTAATAATAAACAGTGAATTTAATTACATCCATGGTTTATTGTCATCCCCAGCTAGTGCTACTGGATTTTCACACACCAGAGCCCAGAAAGATTTATCTGACACCAGCTCACAATCGAGTTATCCTCAGTTCTTCAGCCCTGGCAGCCCTGCCACAGAACAGTTGGTGATAGAGCTAATAGAGGGTTGCAACATGGCAACGGCAGAAAAAGACAACAGATGTTCAAGAGGGCGATACAAAAAGGATTAAAACATAGTGTTTTGGTGGCTTCATTCTTTAGATGTGCTGACTAGGGTTGCAAAAAGGTGGAAAATTTCCAGTAAATTCTGGAAATATTCCAGAAATTTTGGAAACTTTCCAGGATTTTTTTTAATATTCCAGGGATTTTTGGAAAGTTTCCCGGGAAATTTCCCGGAAATGTTCCATCCCTTTGCAACCCTAGTAGTGCTGCTGACATCCATTAAAGCCGACCAATGAATAGGAGGCTATTAGTGCAGGTAAATTTGATTGTCATATACTCACTCTCATGTTCAAAACCTTTACAGATTTCTTGCAGTGTAACACAATTGGAAACATGTCGAAGAAGACAAAAAAGATGCAATAAATAAATAAATCTGTCAATCAATCACAATATAAGTATCATAAGCAACATTTTACAATAAGATTGCATTTGTTAACATGAACTAACAATGAAAAACACTTGTAAAACATTTATTAGTCTTAGGTTATAATGTTAATTTTAACACATGTTATTGCTAATATATTAATAAAGTCAAAAGTTGCATCTTAATATTTAATGGACCTGGTCTAACATGAACTAACAATGAACAGTTGTATTTATATTAACTGATATTAACAAAAGATAATAAATGGTGTACCAAATGTATAGCTCATTGTTAGTTAATGCATTAAGTCATGTTACCTAATAGAACACTATTTTCACAATTAATTAATTAATGCATGTTACTGTAAAATAGTCAAGTCTACAGGAACAGACCAAAATTTAACTTGAACTGTATGAAATATTTACCACATACAGTGCTTTTTAGATAAGCAGCATTCTCCAATGATTTGTGAACAAATAACTTGTTTGAGTCTGATCTTCTAGATTAATCTGTTGATCCAGTTCACAAAACTAGCCTGAATGATGTGTTCACAAACCAGACAGATCTGCTACTCATGTTCAACTGGGGAGAATGTTACCTAATAGAACACTATTTTCACAATTAATTAATTAATTAATGCATGTTACTGTAAAATAGTCAAGTCTACATTTCAAGTCTTCAGGAACAGACCAAAATTTAACTTGAACTGTATGAAATATTTACCACATACAGTGCTTTTTAGATAAGCAGCATTCTCCAATGATTTGTGAACAAATAACTTGTTTGAGTCTGATCTTCTAGATTAATCTGTTGATCCAGTTCACAAAACTAGCCTGAATGATGTGTTCACAAACCAGACAGATCTGCTACTCATGTTCAACTGGGGAGGACTATCACTAAAAACAACTGAAATTCCAGTTTGTTCATCAGTGAAACACTTGCACAAGTCATGATTCTTATGATTTTCATGATCCTTTTTGGTCATTTCAAGCCATTTGTTAAGCTTAATATCTTCAGTCACGATGCACTGTCATCACATGGACAAAGGTGACCGGGAAATCACTAAATATGCCTTCCACAAAAGGAAGAAAATCGTTTGGGTTTGGAACAACATGAGAGTAAATAATGACAGCATACATTTGAGTAGCCTGCGAACTATTTTAATGCGACTTACAGCCATAAAAATATTATGTGATGAACTGGACTCCCTGAACTCGTAAATGACGATGCACAAAAGAGGCTGAATCTTCTCAAAACATTATGTCCAGAAACACTCTCACAGGCCTCGGCTGTCAATTCAAGTCATCCAAACAATTTATTCAGACCATTTGTTTACATGTAGCCAGTTCTTGGTTAAGTTGGTTAAAAGGTCAGAAGGACATACCCTCTGAAAATTCGTTCAACGAAAGCAACCATTTTATCAACAACAGCCGCTTATCTAAACAAAAGGCTGTTTTATTCCCACGGCTTTTCCATTTCTCTCTCTCTCTCTCTCTCTCTCTCTCTCTCTCTCTCTCTCTCTCTCTCTCTCTCTCTCTCTCTCTCTCTCTCTCTCTCTCTCTCTCTCTCTCTCTCTCTCTCTCTCTCTCTCGTGCATCTGAGAGCCGCACATGGCATGACTCGAAAGGGGGCAAATCAATACACACAGCGCCCGTTAGTAACGCTACGCTGGCACGCAGGTGTTCAAACCATTACCAATGAGGGGCATGTAAAAAGCCACACTTCCGAGGGCTTTACAGTAACACAGAACAGACAACATCTTCGCTTATGAGTCAACACCATCCGTTTACTTCCCCAGCCCCGCGCATCACCTGCATTCCTGAAAACACATATTCTGATGACAAAAGCATCTGCAGAGACACACAGAAGTGCTCTTACCTGTGCTTGTGGCTGAAAGTGAGCGCGCTTTATCCCCACTTCTCACTGTAAATTGTTCGTTTGTCTTTTGTATAGTCCAGAGACGCGAAATGCTGCGTTCGCCCTCCCCTTTCACTGCCGTACAGTCGACGGCCGCGTGAGCGCGTCAAGCCGCTCAACCTGCATGAAACGCCACAGCAGATCTGCGGCTCTATGCGCTTTCTCCCGGTAACGTAGCGGTTATGGGCGCGGTCAGTGGAACACCTCACCAATCATCCCGCGCGGCCACTTCGCCTTCCAGCCTCACCGACGACATGATGACTGCGGCACCGCTGTCTCAATGTGACTTACTTTATCAAAATCTGGACCACCGACTATGTCCAGTAAACCAGGGGTTCCCAACCTTTACGGTCTGCCGAAACACTCAAATATATGCTTTAAACACTCTCTGGAATTAAAAACAGGCTTCTTATCGCTCAATAAATATTATGAATAATACAATCAAAGCCTTAAGTTTTTGTATTCATTCATTTTATGTATTTATTTATTTTACATTATTGGTTTAATATTATATTCCATTTAAACACTTTTATTACACGGCGATGGAATAGGCCACTGATTGGTAAATCTGAGGTTTTAAGTCAAATATTTATTCAAAACAATTATTGTAGTTCATGGCAATACGAATAGCCTATTGATTGGTTGATGTACCTTTTGCGTCAGGTGTGTATAGTTGCAATAGCTACGGGCTGAATGAACATCAGATCATTTGTTTTGTCGATGTATCACAGTCTCACAAAACCCCTGCAGTCACATCAGGAACCACTAGGGCGTTTAGAGCTTTACAAATTCCTGCACTTTCTTATTACTCGGAATACTTGATTTTGGTTGTCTCTTCATTACAAGTAAGATCAATTAATTTCAGCTCAAGTCAATATTTCATGTGTATATTATTATTATAATTATTATTCATAGCTGTGTGAATTTTTTTGCGATAATGACTGAATGTAGGCTACATTACATAACTTTTCAATGTATTATAATTAACCTGCAGTTATGAACATTATAACCTAGGGCGTGTAGGGATTTTTATAAAGATTGTTACATATTTCTGTACTTTCATAATGTACTGAATTCAGTAAAGGACTTGCTTCTCGACAGTTGATGAAGTACTTTCTTTAGGCATGCAGGCGTGTAGTATAAATACCTTCCTGGACATACAACATCTGCCTTTTGGTATTGTTCTGTGACCTGTATGATCTTTGACCTATGTACTAACAACAACCACAAATGTACTCTGGTGTATTTTTGTTTTGTTTTGTGTGTGTGTGTGTGTGTGTGTGTGTGTGTGATGGTTCTTTAAAGAACCTTTAAAGAACCTTTGACTGAATGGTTCCAAAAATGGTTCTTCTATGGCATCGCTTGAAGAACCTTTTGAAGCACCTTTATTTTTAAGAGTGTATGGTTGAACTGGATCATCAAAGGTCAGCAGCAAAGACATTGGTTAATAAAATGGGATTGGATTCATTTATTTAACATATTTAATTATTGCAGGTTTGCGTCATATTCTGAGTTTGCATTTGACTGTTTTAATTCATTTTGATTAATACTAAATCTGTTTTTTTGTGAGAGGGATGAATTAATGCACATTCACATTTAGTCTAGAACTATACAGTAACATCATGCTCACACAGCGCACACAACTCCTCTGCACTTCCGATTTCTCCCAATATGGGGACAGGAGACTTGTCAGTCAATAAATGGGAAAACAAAGTAACTGGCATTACTTTTTTGAAAAAGTAACTCAGTTATTTTCTTGTAAATTAAAAAAGTAATGCGTTACTTTACTAGTTACTTGAAAAAAGTAATCTGATTACGTAACTCGCGTTACTTGTAATGAGTTACCCCCACGACATTCATGCTAGCACTTCCTCTTGAAATGAGTCACCTGGTTTCAAATCTTACGGATCCTCAGCTCTCATGGCCTCATGGGACAGCAAATGTCCATTGTTTACACACTTCAGTATCTCAGTGGATACAGTAGGCCATCTGGGTTTTGTTTGCATGCTATTTATTGGGTACGATGTATCCAGGCATCCTACTCGATTGACATACTGCTTTTTGCATACTATTCAGTATAGAAGAACACATATGTGGACACTGAGTTAAATTTAAGGTAAGGTAAATTTAAGGTAACCCATTGCACAGTTGTGAGTAATTGACTGACATTAGCTTTAGCAGTGTTTAATTGAGGACCAGTGTTAATTTCTGTTGTCATTAAATATTGTAAGTATGAATGTGCCACTAGGAAATAAATGGTCTGGGGCTTAAGTGAGACACTCAGCACAGATTGTTTTCCATATAATTTTACTACAGAATTTAATTACAAAAAGGTAAAATGCCAACGCGTATGGATTCATGCACTTGATTATTAATGCTGTGGGCTGTTTTATAAGTTAAACATTTCCAATGGTTTCTTTTTTGCTGTTATTTCGTCCTAAAGCCATATTAGGCATGTATCATCTTTAAATGCATTAATGTTTAACAGATGACTTTATATATGCAAGCTTTGTGTAATGAGCCAAATACTCAAACAACAGCTAGTATCATTAATGGTATCTGTGGTAATTCCCCCATGTATTACCCTCAGCACAAAGCCTGGACCTCAGTTGTCTGTTCAGACAAGATTTTAATAAAAATGCTTCACTGCTTCTTAATTTAAAAAAACAAAAGCAAACAAACAAAAAAAACCTTTTGTCTGTTGAATCAAAGTCATGTGGTGTGACCAACATGCAGAAAAAACATAAAACAGGAAATTATCATAGACAGGACTGTGTGTCAAGGTCAGTAAATTTGACAATTTTATGGCAAGGTGAAGTTATGTAGTGTGACTCCCCAAAAATGTACCGATATTTATGCTTAATGATAATTAAAATAATAAAAATGCTTGTAAGATAATAAAAATTGTAAAAACAAAAAAAACTAATTAATAAATAAAATAAAAATACTTGAAAAAAATACTTTTTTATTTATTAATTAATATATTTTTAAAAATGTATTATCTTAAAAGCATTTTTATTACTTTAATTATTATTAATCATAAATGTCTGTACATTTTTGGGGAGTCACATACATAACTTGTTACAACCTTGAATTAAATTCAGTTAATAAAATGACTATATAATAACAGTGATAATTGTTGTAAAATATTGAAAATGCTAAAAATGATTGTAAAATAATAAAAATAAAATAAGGTAAAATACCTGAATATAAAATAGTAAAAAATAATAATAAAACAATAATAAGATGTAGTGTGACTCCCCAAAAATTTACTGACAATTATGAATTAATAATAATTAAATAAAAATAATTAAAGTGATAATTTTTGTAAAATAATGAAAATTGTTAGATAGATGTTCTATGTTGGTATCTGAACAGTTGATGGGCAACATTGACTTCCATAGTATTTTTATTTCCTACTATGGAAGTCAATAGTGCCCATCAACTGTTCGGATACTAACATTTTTCAAAATATCTTCTTTTGAGTTCAACAGAAGAAAGAAACTCATACAGGTTTGGAACAAGTGGAGGGTGAGTAAATAATGACAGAATTTTCATTCTAGAAGTGAGCTACTCCTTTAAACAGGCCTTTACAAAGCACAAAAAATGAATGCTTTTCATTTGACATTCCTGTCTCATTTTTGAAAATGCCTGTGAGCTTTTGAGCATTCCAACAAGTGCCTTAAAATTACTAAGGAGGGGGGCACTCTATCTTACAACAGCAGACGGAAACCCAACCTCTCCAAACTGTGCCTTGGCATTGGCCGCTGTGCAAACAGCACCTTACCCACTTAGGAAAAGTGTCTAGACTGGCATCGTTCCCTGACCGACCTGCCTCATCTGTATTGAGCTGTGGCATCATTGAATGATTTGCAATTATTATTATTGCAGAAGTTTCCTTTACTCCCGTATTAAGCCGTTTCTTGCATTCTTTCGCTTCTCGCGCATTACTTTGAACTTGGAGTGCCATTATGCATGAGAGGCTCCATCAAAGGAAAACATGCAAATGGTTGAGGATTTTGTGGATATGGTTAAACAGAGCATGCGAGTGTGTGTGCGTGTGTGTGTGAGTTTTCTGAGGCTGGCGAAGCTAATGATAGTCTGTTGTGGAGTGTGTCAGAACAGCCGCATTGTCACCGTAACTTGTGTTAAACGATCGCAGGGGTTTAAAACCTGGAACGTGTGGACATGGAGACCTTGAAGCCTCTTCGAACCCAGAGAGCACTGTTGCATGGGAGACATATTAATGCAGAGTGACAAGGACATGGGACATAGACTATCTGTCTCACTCTCTCCCCCTATCTGTTTCTCTCCATAATGTGTGGTTTCAGGAATAGCCACACTAACAGAAGGACGGCATGATGGGGACCTTGGAATATAATCATGTCATTACCGTGTGAGTGAAGTATGAAATAGTAGGAGAGTGGGTGAATATTGACTGTCCTGAGATGGCGATTGCTTTAGGGGGCTGACTGATCACGTAAGCATCACCATATACAGGCTTTCTGCCTCTTTGTCCCTATTGTGCCCTCTTTATTTTTTAAGAAAAGCATTCTCTTTTTCTTGCAGTCTCTCTCTCTTGCACACACACACTTCATCTTTCTGAGTCGCATCTCTCAGACACATGTAAGGCACAACACAGAATTTGAAAAGCGGCCAATTGTCTTTGTGCAGTCACAAGCGTTTCCCCAGGGCTGGCTGTGAATTAACTCAACACAATTGGGAGATTAAAACACATAAGAGCCTGTATTTAACCACTTCTGTCCTCCGAGCGGAGCAGGATGCCAGAGAACAGGCTCTTGTGCTGAGTTTAGATTTGGGTCATCAGCTCGGTGTGGTCTTATCTAAATGCACCGCGGCGATAGTGCGGCAGAGGAGCTCGGGGCCTTCCGACTCATTATTCAGCAGTTCATATCAGTTTATTAGTGCCTGTGTAATTATGCCGCAAAATCGCGCCTCTTAGTGCGGTAAATACTTATAAATAAATCACAGCCCATCTGTCATCTTAACTGGATGTCAATTAGGCAAGAATGCAGTAGCACATTTTTCATTATGTGGATTTACAGTAACAAGATCAGTTGTTTATGTTTCAGGTGGCGGTGTGTTTTATGACAAAGATCTAATCGCATGATGGGCTGTGAAAAATTCACAGCTAAAGAATTAGCTCCGTTTTAAATCATGAATGTGAATTTGAATTAAATTGGCCACAGACCACAGGAAGCTGTGAATTTGAACTGGAATGACAGGA